TGTTTCATCCTGTTTGAAAATTTTAGAGAGTGACAGTTGCTCAGAGTTGCCAATCAGTGACAGATCTCTTCAAGGAAACTTTTAAGGGATAAAATTTGAAGTCTGTATTCTAATGGGGAAGACAGGTGCTTGAACTTCAAGTAAAACACAAAACAGGAGTGATGTTTAGCCTGGCAGTTAAGTATGCAGCATCACACATCCAACTGCCTGTGCTCTATCGTCAGCTCCTGATCCCAGCCCCCTGCCGATGCAGAACCTGGACTCAGTGGTGATAGTTCGAGTAGTTCTGTCCCTATAACACACACGAGAGACCTTGTTTGCATTCTTAAATGCCAGCTTCAACCCATCCCAATCCTAGCTATTGCAGGCAATAGGAAACCAAGCCACCCAAGGGAAGCTCTCAGTTTTTCTGTCTCTCTCACTGTATCATTTTTTTTTCTGTCCCAGAAGTAAATACATAATCTTAAGAAGCCACAAAGCAGAGTACTAGAATTAAAAGTCAGGGCACAGGGTGAGAGAACTCATTTTTAGCTACAGGTTATGAAGAATTTGCATTGCTAATAATTATTGCACGAGAAGCAATGCTCTGTAAGTAACTTACAGAATGTGGCAAGTGCTTTCTCAGTCACAGCCACTACATTACACACATGTCTGGTTGAGTGCCGTCCTCCTAACACCCCTAGGAGATGGTCAGCACCACCCTTGTCTCACACGTGGTCTTGAAAGGATACATAGAGTACATCCAGTCGAAGCCGGACATTGCAGGAATGATTAGATTTTAAAAGCCTGCATTCAGTGGGAGAGACTGCAAGGCAGGCGGAGGAAACCAAGGGGGATAGTTAGCAAAAGGGCATCACTAGGGAAACCTGGGCCTTCTCAGGAGCAGGAAACCATAAGAACTCCAGTGCTTTACATTTCAGGAAAAGAAAATATGGATTCGAGTCACCAAAAGCTGAGACCTGCACAACCACATGGAGGCAGACTGTCAGTTCAGATTCTTTCACAATAGCAGGAAATCAGGGTCTAGGCTACAAAGAGGGACTTGCATTTTCTCTTGTGTGCTGATGCTGCTAAACTGTCTCTTCAGATTCTGCTGGCATCTCCGTGAGCTGAGACTCAGAGGTATAGCAACTTGTCCATAAATTCAGATCCGTCTGTCCCACTCTAAATAGTATTGATACATAAATTAATCATCAAATAATACTTTGAATTTAGATCGATTTTTCTGGGGGTGGATCAATGAGTTTCTAAAATAAATTTAGCCAATTTACAACTTATATGAAGGCACTTCAAAAGTTCATGGACAGTGAAATTAAAAGTTTTTGATTTGGGGCAGGGGCCATGGCCTACCAGCTAAATTCCTCACCTTGAAAGCGCTGGCATCCCATAAGGGCGCTGGTTCTAATCCCGGTAGCCCCACTTCCCATCCAGCTCCCTGTTTATAGCCTGGGAAAAGCAGTTGAGGACAGCCCGAAGCCTTGGGACCTTGTACCATGTGGGAGACCCAGTAGAGCTCCTGGCTCCTGGCTTCGAATTGGCACAGCACTGGCCGTTGTGGTCACTTGGGGAATGAATCAACAGACGGAAGATTTTCCTCTCTGTCTCTCTTGTCTCTATATATATATATCTGACTTTGTAATACAAATAAATCTTTTTTAAAAAGTTTTTTATTTGGTTCAAAAATTTGAAATTTATACCTGCAAAGGGCCTTCAAAAATATTTATCACAATTCACATTGTGAAAAAAAATGGATTTCACATTTTTGGCATCAAAATAAATGTTTCCATTTTCCATGAACTTTATGAAATTCTCTTGTATACAAACCAAGTGCTCCTACAGTTGCAAAGGGAAAATCAAAGGGTCCAAGCAATGCTTTTCCTTTCCCTATCAATATTCCTGAAAGGCATCCTGTACTTCCACCTCCATCCATTCACAAGAGAGGGGAGGAGGGAAAAACATCACAATGAAGGGATAAGCTAGTGGGAGGAAGGGCAATGCCTACATGGACGCTGGTGTTGAAGATTTTTGCATTTGGGGCACTTGGCTCTGAATTGATGGGAAGACCTCAGCCAGCATAAGGGAAATTTTTAGCCATGGAGCTCTTTTTTTTTATGTCTATTGGTGGATCGCCCCAGAGAGATGGGGAAGGGAGAGGCCAGAGGAGCCAGGGATCTGGCTAGCCACTGTGAGTCTTCCCCCTTTGGGAAGTGGAGGCTTCCCAAAGAACGAAACAAAACCCACATACAAACCAGGGAGAGACTCCAACATCCCATATTTCTGCTTTTGGGCCAGGATGAATGCCACCCCCTGAAAAGATTGGCTTCTACAATTAACACTGAATAAACAACCAATTAAAACCTCTCCCCTGCCCCTACCCCACCCTGCCTCTTCCTCTCACGAAGCCTCTCATGCCAGAGCAACGGGGCAGAAGTGGCTTTCTCTAATAACATTTGTATTCTCTGAGAGAACATTTGATGGAAATGGACAAATTAATTAGAAAATAATAAATAATGCAGAAAGGGAGGATCCAAGAAAATCTTGGCTCTCCTGTGTTTTTCTTCTCCTCCCATGTGTTCTCTTTTTACCACATGCCCGGATGAGCTTGTAAATGAGGGTTAAGTTGTTGGAAGAGTTGACGCGGCCTTCTCACTAGTTGTGTGATCTCTGAACCCTTGTTCCTTCATCTGTAAGATGGGAATACCTGATAGACATAGCTAAGCAGCGCGTCCTGAAGGTTTTCTCCATGCCAGGCATATTCTAAACACTTTATGCAGCCATTACTAGCCTAATCCTCAGAAAAACTTCATGTAGCAGACACTGTTATCACCCTTGTACTGTTCCCAAAGCAACTGGGAGACAGAAAGTTAAATGAAATACCCACAGTGGTGCAAACTACATGGAGAAATGCAGACTTCAAGCCTTGGACTGTAGCTTGGGAATGTGTTAGGTCACCTATTCTACTACACGAGTTCAAATGCTGAACAGAAGTGTGAACACATACACTAAGGCCGGAATACCTAAAACAAGTGTTAGCACAGAAGGAAATTCCAGTATTGGATTTCTCCTTTCTGCTTTACCTCTCTGACTAAAACTCCTCATAAGGCTTCCAGTGTAAGAAGCTGAATATGAGTTCTTAACGGGAAGAAAGGTTCAACATATGATTTGTCCACAACCATGTCTGCAACCTCCCCTGACTGCGTCACCAATTCAAGCTAACATTTTTGTAGTCATAAAAGTATGGAAATATTTGGGGTCTTAGTCTTGGGATTTTCTATGACACGGGCATCCGAAAGCACTCTGTAGGTATTAGCCTTACCCTACTCATGATGGGGTAGAAGCATCAGTTTGTGACCTACAGAGATACCTTGGAAATCAAAAGGCAATTGTAAAATAATCCAAACATACTATAAGTACACTGAGGCCTTGTAAATCCACAATTGTTGAAATCAAGATGGGGTACCTAAATGCCTTAACTTTATCTCTCCAGGTTTAAATTCAACCCCATCAATATTTACTGAGTGCTTTCCAGACAGGAAGCCCTGAACTGAGAACTGAGTATATGGATGACTGGGTAACCCTTCCTGACCCACAGATGGCCATGGAAGAGGGGTAAATCACTTAGTTGGAATAGAGGATATGAGAACATGCACTATTATGAAGAAGTAAGCACATAACAGAGATGGGGAAGGAGCTGGAGGTGTGCTGGATTCCTGAAGCAGCAATTCCAGAGTATACACAAAACCATTTTATCAGAGGACAAAGTGTTAAACAGAGTTTGAGCAAAGCAAAGAACGTGAAGGAAAACATCAATGGGTATCGCATCATGTTGAGTATCAGAAACGCTGCCTGGTCCCAGAGGAAAGCCCAACAGAGGGTGTAGACAAATTGGGCTGAAGAGCAGTTTTAATCTTGTAGGGTGTGATCAAAGGGAATTTAGAATTGACTCTCCTGTAAATGGGGATGCCCTTCTGTTACTACAAGAGGGGAGGAAGAAGGAACCATTGTTGGTGGGCACCTTGTATATATCCTGTCAGAACTCACTGGGGAGAAACAATTTAAAAAACCCCTCACCAACCCAAAGCAAAGGGCAAGTGCCTCACACTCAGTGTTTATGTTTTCATGAGAGAATCTTATTTCCCAAGGCAATTATTGATTCTTGAGCACATAGCATAGATAAGTCTTTTTATAGTTCCCTCCCTCTCTCTCTTTCTCTCTCTTTCTCTTTTCCTCTCTCTCTCTCTCTCACACACACACACACACACACTTAATTCATTTTGAAGAAATGTCAGTCTACAACAGCAGCAACACCGAATGCAGTATCCCTCTCTGATCTATTTTACAGATTAAAAAATAGAGGCTTACAGAATGCAGGATCATCTATGGGAAGTATTTTGATATCTGAAAGAAAATAAACTTCCGAGCTAGTCAGTATCAACCATGCACACCTGTTTTACAACTTTTCACTGCCTTTAATAATGTTAGGACACCTGTTACTCACCTTGAGAAAAGAGTAAGAGCCTCTTATGGTGTTGATACAGATAGGAAAATAGATCTTTCAGTGCAGTTTTGTATTCTGCAAGTAGGTAGTCCAGGGTCTATGGTGAATTAATTAAAGAAGAGAACAAGGCTAGAAATCATATTTTCTTCGTGGTTTCTGTTCTTGACTATACTCATATTGTGCTGTCCTATCAGTATAAAAATATCTTATGGGGCACAAATGTTGACTACAGATAAATGGTTGTTCAAAGTTGAAATCAGCTATTCATAAACTCCGATGTTGGCAAGGCTCTTGAATTTAAAAGGACTTAATTACCTTGTCTGTGAAATGGGATCATCTCAATATTATCAGGGGAACACAATGAAGTGTAATTTAGAAAGAGATTATCAGAATATCTGGCACATAGCAGCAGCTCTTAATCACCTGGGGAGTGGAATACCTGTTGTTTGAATAGTACCTTTTGGGGATGATGATGTTAGCAAGGTCTTTTTTTCTATTTCAGAGCCTATTTGGATGTTAATGAGCTGAAGAGCATTCTGAGATTGGATGGATCAACACATCTCAATATTTTCTTTGCAAACTCCTCAGAGGAAGAGCTGGCAGGAGTAGCAACTTGGCCATGGGACAAGGAAGCCCTAATGCACTTGGGTGAGTCTTAGGAACTCCTTAAGGAAGAAGCTGAAATAGCACAGTAATGAACTTAGTTGCAATGATTATCACAAGCCTCATGGTGGTGGAGGTGATCAATCCATTTATTACTTTTTAGTGGACAAAACTGTGACGCTCCTATATCATAGTGACCAGCAGGAATTTTCTAATAGAAATAGTGCCACATTGTTAACAATTTCTTTAACCAATTAGAAATCCGAGATCCAGAGAAGAACTAGGGCTTATCCAAAATCACAGATAAGTTAGAGAACCACAATCAAACTCAGCTTTCCAAATCTGCCAATTGATTGCTTTCTCCTTACATCCTACGTTTCCCAGTTCATGCAGGTATCATCTCAGCCTGGCAAACAACTGTGTTTGTGTAGTAAGTTGTAGGCAGTCTTGAAGCACATCATGAGCACAAGAGAAGGTTTATTTGTGAGAAACCATGTTTCTTCCATGTTCCACTCAATGACAGCACCAGGAACTCTCCTTAACACTAAAATTACTCATATCCATAAATAAACCATAGGTTTATCCAAATGAATCACCAAAAGTCAGAAATGACAGGTTTACGAACTAGAGCCCCTAAACAGTGGAGTTCTTTTCATTTTGATTTTTCCACGCGCTCTTTCCGTCCAGGGCTATATGTAGACATGCAAGTTTTTACTTGTGTATAGTTCAGTTCATAACATCGAAGCAATTTTGTGTTCTCTTTCCCCTTACTATTGTGCTATCTCATTTTTCCATGTTGCAGAAGTCTTAGAATTAGATACCATGCCACTTTTTCTGCTTGAAGTCATAATGAAAAACATCCCTTTGGGTTATTTTCATCTCTCCAAAGAGATTTTTAATAACCATATAATATTCCATTGAACTAGGGCTCCACAATTCATGTGACCATTTTGTCCTCGGTGGATTGTTCTCATTATTTACAACAAAGAGTACTGATGATTCAGTGAACATCTTCATCTAGAATGTTAGGACTCAGCAGAGTGTCAGTGTTGGATGTGCTATCAGATCCGCTTCGTCTGCAGGGATGCATCCAGACGTCAGCCACCGCTCTAAATCTATGATATTCTGGAGATAAGATTCTCTGCCATTTCCAGTATGGAAGCTATGCAAATCAAATCAGACTTTGTTCCTCCAGACTTCTCTCATTTCTCACCTGTGTCTCAGGAAAGAAGGCAGTTTTGTTTGTGTTTGCATGCTTGTATAAAGACAGACACAAAAATAAATATCTAGGGTCCAGTGTATTAATCTAGTGGCTAAACTCCTTGTCTTATACACACTTGGATCCCATACGGGAGCCAGTTCTGATCCCAGCGGCCCTGCTTCCCACCCAGCTGTCTGCCTGTGGCCTGGGAAAGCAGTCAAGGAAGGCCCAATGCCTCGGGACCCTGCACCCAAGTGGGAGACCTGGAAGAAGCTACTAGCTCCTGATCAGCTCAGTTCCAGCCATTATGGCCACTCTTTCTATCTCTCTGCCTCTCTATATATCTGACTTTCCAATAAATAATAAATAAATCTTAAAAAATTAAGATAAGTATCTAGTTGTTAGTGTGTGGTGGAATCTGTTCTTTAGGAGACATATATGAATACCTAGAGACATTTTTTGTTGCTCCAGATGGGAGAATGCTACTGGCATCTAGTGGATAAAAACCAGTGATGCTGCTAACTGTTGTACAATGGACACAGCAAAGAATGAGGCCCAAGTTGAGAAATGACATAGCTGACGGATGAATAGCTAGAGAGATTGACACAGACAGACAGACGTTGAGCAGAAGAGAATGTGAAACTCCTGCAAACTTGAAGATGATCAGTTTGTGTCATGTGCGAATCATGCTAAATAAAAGCTCACATGCATGGTAGTACTCAAGTAAGACTTCAATTAACAGCACAGCCTTAGGCATGTCTGTTCCCCTTATCCCCTAACTCCTCTTTCCCTTTCCCCCCCCCCAAAACCAAAGTTTCTCAAAATAAGCAGGTTGGATTAAATGGCTTCCTAGGATCCTTATCAGCTCTGAAATTCTATCCTGTTGGAAAAGCAACTAAAATTGCCATGATCAGAATCTGAGAAGAGTTGATTGGCAGGTTTCTAGGATTAGAGAAAAATATTCCTGATAATTCCATAAATTTCAGAGACTGGCACAGGACCAGGAATACGAGAGGCTAGAAATCCATAGCATATTGTAGTATTTCAGGATGATGTCAGCTTCAAGCTATTTCATCTTTTAAGAGAAACAGTGAAACAGGACTCAAGTGCTCTGCGGAAAGGGGTGAGTTAGAAAGAGATCAGTAAATCAAGCAGTGCCAACCTATACATTCATTCTGGAATCTTAACGTTGTCGCTGAAAGGGGGAACAACCAGGCACTCTCCCCTGCTCTCTCATAGAGAGACTGAACGTCATTGGCACTGTTGTAGCTGTTGTACATGCCAAGTCCATGTCCCAAGATCACAAGCGCAAGATGAAGCAAGAGAATTGCAACACATGTCAGGTTTGTCACAGCTTATATCCGAACTGTCTCCTCCCCTTCCATGGCAATGTTGATCATACGCAATTCTTCTGCAGTAGCCCCAATCAAACATACTCTTTCTCCCTCTTTTCCTATTGTTATGCCATGATCCGTGTAAAAAGCTTCGGGTGAGAAGGAGATTGTGTTTCATATTATGATTGAAGGAAATAATTGAGAAAGATTTTCTGTCTCAGTTGTTCTTTCTCCCTGCATCTGCCTCCCACTTCTCATACCCACACACGTGTGCACGGGCACACACACACACACACACACACACACACACACACACACACACACATCTTTACCTTTGAGTCAGAAGACTCTGCACAATTCAGAATTAATAGATTTGCGATTCCCTTGACTGAGCAAGCTAATCCCCTTGACTTTACATTCTAAAAAAAAGTTCCTCCATACCGGTCCAGATCAACAAAGCACTGTTCTCTCACAATTTCTTTATAAGTTGCTGTGCACGCTAAGCCCCTAGTTACAAGGTTTTTGCAACTGAGGTATAACATTTCCTTAAGTATATTTGAATTTTAAAATTTAACTATCTTCTGCCAGCCTGCATGTGTCTCTTCAGTGCTTAAATGAACATGGAACAGATACTTCCTCATTTTTTTAATTTAAAAAATTGTTTTCAAAACTTCCAATTAATTTTTTAAGCAGAAGCCATGTGGTTTGTAGATACAAGTATAAGAACATGGCCCGGTGTGATGACTCGATTGACTAATTCTCCCCTGGGACTCCAATATGGGCTCCATTTGTGTCCCAGCTGCTCCAGTTGCTTCCCAGCTACCTGCTCGTGGCCCATGAGAGCAGTCTAGAATGGCCCAAAACCTTGGGACCCTGTACCCCAGTAGAAGACCAGGAAGAATCTCCTGGCACTTAACTTTAGATCAGCTCAGCTCCAACCATTGTGGCCCTTTGAGGAGTAAACCAGCAGATGGAAGATCTTTCTTTCTGTCTCTCGTTCTCTGTGTAAATGTGACTTTGTTGTAAAAATAAATAAATCTTTAAACACACAAGCACAATAAGGGATCTTCTGTTTCTCTTTATGTCCTCCTGAATTCTATTCTATCCAATTCTATTAGCTAAGCAATGTTCAGTACTCTGGGGTGTGTCATTTAGACCACTGCTTCTCAAATGAAAATGGGTAGAAAAGTCATCCAAGAATCTGCTTAAAATAGATTGTGATGGGCCTGGCATGATAGCCTAGTGGTTAAAGTCCGCAACTTGCCTGTGCCTAGATCCCACATGACCACCAATTCTTACCCCAGCTGCTCCACTTCCCTTCCAGCTCCCTGCCTATAGCCTGGGAAAACAGTCAAGGATGGCCCAAAGCCTTAGGAACCTGCACCCAGAAGAATTACCTCACTTCAGATCAGCTCAGCTCCAGCTGTGTGGCCACTTGGGAAGTGAACCAGCAGATGGAAGATCTTTCTCTTTCTCTCCTTCCTCTGTAAATCTGACTTTCCAGTAAAGACAGAAGCAGAAATGCCCAAGAGAACTGAGGGGTGGGGCATTACAAAAATAAATTGTGATTCCCCAGGTCTGGGACGTGGTCTGGGATTCTTTAATCTGGTGAGAATTGCCATGTGATGTTTAAGCTGCTTGTTCTTTGGAAGGCCAGGCACTATTCTGTATGCTTACATGTGATTATTTGCCCTGAAACATGGTTTATATTAGTCAGCATTCAGGCAATATTCATCAAGTGCAATGAATACTACACTCCGACACTTGTAGTAGCCATTAGCGGTAGAACACAGATAAAGATTCTTGGCCAAAGACCTGTCCTCCAATTCTAGCTCCTCACTTACTCTTCATCGAAGCTCGGTTACTTTGCCTCTCTATGAATCAGTGCCTCTCCTATTGAATTTTGAGATGGTAACAATGATTTTATCTATATGATACCAACACTGGGCTTGAAGACACACAACAATTGCTGAAGAAACTGTAAGTTTGATGAACACTGTTTACATGTAATCTTGGCCTTAAAATGTGTTCATACAGTATCAAACATGAAGAGAATGGAATTTAGAGGTGGTGTTAACTCAATACATGTCACAGTAGTAGTGGAGGCAAAATAAAAACTCTACCAAAACATCTAAGCTTTAAGGCTTCATTTACCCAGAACAAGCAGAATGTTTGCAAATTAGATCCAGCCTTACTTTCTAAGGAAAGGATTGAGGTGGAAGGATTTATCACCCCAGAAATCTAAGTCTAAGGATGCCGCTTCTTTTAAAGAGCTTGAAGTTTTCATCTCCCTAGAAATGTGTATTTTAATCTTTGAAAAGTAGAGGAATTGTACAAAATGACTTTTGAAACTCCTTTCTGCACTGATAATACTTGCTTTCATGTCATGGGTTGTGAAGCCAAAAAGAAGACACCTGTTATTTTGGAGGGCACAACTTCTTCATCTTTAATTGCTTTGGAGATTCTTCTACCAGGAAGCAGAAGCACCCAGCTAGCCTAACGCTCTGGTTTCCTCTTGTAGGTGGCATTGTCTTGAACCCCGCTTTCTACGGCATTCCTGGGCACACCAACACCATGATCCATGAGATCGGGCACAGCTTGGGTCTCTACCACACCTTCCGAGGGATCTCAGAGATCCAGTCCTGCAGTGACCCCTGCATGGAGACAGAGCCCTCCTTTGAAACTGGAGATCTCTGCAATGACACCAACCCGGCCCCGAAACATAAGTTCTGCGGTGATCCCATGCCAGGCAATGACACCTGTGGCTTCCATAGCTTCTTTAACACCCCATACAACAACTTCATGAGCTATGCAGGTAAGACCCTATGCTCCATATATTTGCTGGTGCTGTATGCCTACTGCAGGCTACAGTCCTGCTTCCAAAAATGCCTTGAACAAGTTGCCTACTTTTCTAAAGCCAGAAGAGTTGTCATCCTTCATTTCAGAATAATACTGTTTTCCTGGGAATTTTAGAGGTTAGAGGACGGTGTTTTTTATTCCGACGCTCCCCCAGAAAACCTCACTTTAGGAGGGTGGCTGGGACTAAAATCCAGAAAACGCAGGCGGATGATCACACTCCACCACCAGCGCACCTTGCATCCCCCAGTCCTCGCTTCCTTGGATCATTTTTCATAAGAAAATCCAATCTTTGAATTTGATCTCCTAGGTAACCTTTTTTACAGCTGTATTTTTCTAAGCTGGCCATTATTGAACCATTTTTTAATTTAACTCAGATCTCCCTCACATAAACATGAGATCGCTACTCTTTCATTTCATCTTTTTTATTTTTCAGAAGAAAATGTGCTTTTCATTTTGCAAATATCAAATCATTACATGAGATTGGGCATACTGTTTCCCTAACTGCATGTATCTATTTTAGCATTTTTTTAAAAAATTACAGTCATTTATGTAGTGTTAAGGGCTTTTTCACTGGGTTCCAGGAAGATCACTTCTTTGGCATGTGGCACCCAAGGCCAGCTGGTGCTCTTTTAGCACCTTTGAAAGCTAAAACTAAATCCTGCTTCTTCTAGCCCGGTATAGTCCTCTTTACTGGCCAGGTTAGTCAATAATCCTTGTGCAATGCAGTTGGTGACCCAGCATTCCAGCATTAAATTTCATTTTAATAACTGATTCTCTCCGCTGAGAACAAGCAAATTCAGTAAAAGTAGAGATTGGATCTAATGCATTACTACTGGCATGTTTCCAGAACCTATCAAAGGGTGCAATACTTCCTGTGTCTGTTAGGTAAAAGGAAGGAAGGAAAGATGGGACAAAGAGAGAGAAAAAAATAAATTCTCATTACACGCTTATAAAATTGATTTGCATCAATAACAATATTTTTACCATATAACGATTTATTGACTATAAAGAACTTTTATATGTTCCATCTCATTTAATTCTCAAATAAATCTGTGCTATCAGAGCGATCTCAGCTTTATGGATGAAACACTGATGTTCACCAATACCATCTACCATTGTCCTTCTGTTGTGCCATTCTTTAAATGAAACCTGGGCAATGACTGCCTGGGGGAAAGGAGCAACGTGGATGACATTTGTGCTCTGTTTTACAGAGATCTGGGGACAGTCCATGGTAGATAAGTAAGTGGGGGTCCCAGGCACGTATTCCTTTTGGAATCAGGAAAATTCTCTTCTGTCTTTGCTTCCTGGGAAGTTTTGCCTCCTTTGCAGTTTTGCCACAGAAACTCCAAGGATTGGATGATCCCCAGTAGTTCCTGTGTCCTGTGCTGATGACTTCTGGAGTCTCTCCAGGACAGGGTTCACACAGGCCACACCTGGCGTCCTTTGAGAGGTCACAAACCCCAAGCCCAACTCTGGTATATGAGAGTCCTTAGGTTTGAGTCTCTCTCTAAAAAAAAAAAAAAAAAAAAAAGACCAGGGTGCTGGGTATTTCCTCAAATACTGATTCCCACTGGCCTTCCATTCCCAGCAGTGCTGACACTCACATCCGGTGTTCCATCCCCTCCAACAGGCCTGCTTACATCCATTTCTATAGCACCTTTCCTAGGCCAGCTCAACACACATGGAAAATAAACAATAACATGAGTTTGGACGTTTGCCAGCCTCTTAGGGGCCCAGAAGCTGCCACTAGTTACCAGACCCCCATAAACTAAAACATTTTTTGTTCCTCTTTGTACATATCTATAGGGTGATTGATTTACTGTTGTTTTTTTTTTAAGGAACCCCTCAGCTCAGTGACCCATTAACAGCAGAACTAATTCACCAAGCTACGATAACAAACTTACACCCGCAAAAGCATATCCAAGGCAACCATGAGCTTGGAAATGTTTGTTTTTCTTAGGATCTCTGATAGATGAGGTGACAAAAGCAGCTGGATCAAAATCAAAACGCAGAACAGAACTGGGTTCTCAGGGCTGGGGAGAGCCCTCGTCGGGACTCCCTCCATCAGGAAAGGAAGGTGGAGACACAAAAGCTTTCCCTTCAAGGATGCTTCTCTCTCAAGCCTAGTCAGTAGTCACATAAGGGGTCTAGTTAGCATGGCTCTGTTCAATGCAGCTTGCTCAGATTGGATTTGTGCTCTCTGCCTGGGCTAGCCAGGAGCATAGCCCTAGCCAAATGTGACCAGTGAGCACTTGGAAATACAACTAGCATGATTGACTCCTTGACGTAATAAACTTAAATTATTTTAATTTTAGTTGGAAGTGGCCATATATGGCTTGCTACCATATTGGCTTTTGTATGCCTAAAGTAATTCTTGAAAGTTTATTACATGCTGGGCCCTTTGCAAAATTTTAGAGTCTTCTCTCATTGAATCTTCATAATAACCCAAAAAGTATGGTTTAGAGATCTCAAGTAACTTGTCCAGGATCACACATATAAACCAAGACAACGATGAGACTGAAGCCTTCTTCTTTCTCACTGCAAGAGGCTCTGTTATTAGCAAATTATTTTTCACTTCTTGGAAGGTTAAGAAGGTCTGAGTGTTTAAGCAAGCATCAGGTAAGATGATAACGGTGAGTGGAGGTCAGTAGCCAGACAATAGCCAGAGATCGCTGTGCGATGCCTCCTTGACAGAGAGTCGATAGCAACTCCAACTCTACTTTTTGAAGGGCGTAAGCCATGGGGACGCCTCAGGGAGGACCTTCCCGTTGAGATCCCCTTGAGAGTGCAGGAAAATTTTCATCTTTCTTTGTGCTGGGCCCTTGTCTCTCACACACACACACGCTTTGATATAGGAGTTCTATGTCTAAGGAATAGATTTTGAAAAACAACACAGTTTAAAGACTTTGCAATAAAAAAATGTTGTTAGTAATATTTATTTTTAAAATATGTATTATGTATTTACTATGTGCCAGTTATAAAACGTTCATATGTATAAAAAATTTGAAACCTCTTAGAAGTTTAAAGATAATGATTTGCCAAAATAAATCACAGGATATCCATACACTAGGACATTGGGTGGCTACTAAAGATGAGGTAGATGATGGCTGATGGGTATGGAAGGAAGCCGACTAGAGCCCAGCATTGTAGCATAGTGGGTACGGAAATTATCTGCAATGCTGGTGCTCCACACAGGAGAAAACTCATGTGCTGGCTGCTGCACTGGCACAGCTGATCCAGTGCCTTGTAATGGCCTGGAAAAAGCAGCAAAAGATGAGTCAAATGTCTAAGCCCCTGCCACCCATGTGGGAGATCCTTAAGACGGTCCTGGCTTCAGCCTGCCTTAGTGCTGGCCAATCCAGCCCTTGTGATCATTTGTGGTGTGAACTAGCAGATGGAAGACTGCTCTGTCTGTATAACAGAATTTTTTTTTCTTTTTCTTTTCTTTTTATTTATTTATTTTATTTTCATTGGAAAGTCATATCTACAGAGAGAAGAGACAAAGAGAAAGATCCTCCTTCCACTGGTTTACTCCCCAGATGGCAGCAATGTCAAGAGCTAATCCAATCTTAAGCCAGGAGCTTCCTCTGGGCCATGAGGGTGCAGGGTCATTCTCTACTGCTTTCCCAGGCCACAAACAGGGAGCTGTATGGACAGTGGAGCAGCCAGGACACAAACCAGTAGCCGTATGGGATCTTGGCAGTTGCAAGGCAAGGATTTAGACACTAGATTATTTCATCAGGCCTGTAACAGCCTTACAAAATAAATAAGCAAATCTTTTTAAAGAAGAAGATGTGGTGTGGTGATTTCAGCATGAAGTTTGGAGCTAAGGTGACAGAACCTGAATCCTCCATGTCCTAGCATTGATCCTAGACAAGCTGCCCTTCTCTCACAGCCTCAGTAACTTCATCAATACCATGCGGGAATGGCAGGTATAATATAAAACTAAGGGAACCACAACTGCCCTGCATTCCATAAAGACAATTAGGAGAATTATTTGCTAAGTTCTTAATGTTCAGAATGGTCACAGAACCATATATATAGTGTGTGTGTATGTATGTAATACTGACAGTTACAGAAAGCTACTGCCAATACATTCATATTTGCATGTACACAAAATGTATTAATTATGAGTATCATATCTATATAATCAGTTTTCTGTGTAAATTTCTTTTTAGTACATTCCAAATGTTCTATACTGAATAGCTGTAACTCTTAACTATTTGTCATTATCAGTATTATTTATTAAAGCAACAAAGGACAGACTTTTACAAAAGGCCACTTAGTATTCTGAGATTAAGTTAAGCAGATGTCATCATCCAGTTAATTTCAGGAAGTGAAAATAAGACTCTCAGAAATCAGTGTATTGCCCAAAATTCTGCAAGGAGCCAAGGCAATTCCAAGTTGTTAACTTCTGCACAATATAACCTGACAGGTGGAAACTTCTTGATAACAAAGTTCAGATAGCAACTTCAGGGCTCTGTGTCAACAACACGGGCGCCTCTCCCTGCTCCCAGCAAACTGCTCAAAGTTCTTTCTGCTTAGGAACAAAATGGGAACAGAGGACCAAGATGAGCTGACTGGTCCTGGAGAAAGAGAGCTTCAGATGCAGATATCAAGAAGAGGTGATTAAGGGCAAGAGGCCAAGTGGGGTTGGCTAGACATAAGCTAATTAAGACAGAGCATTTGTGATAAACAGAAATTCCTTAGGATTTTCCCCCAAGATGCTGATAGCAGCTGATTCTCTAGAGGATGTACTCTGGGACAGACATTTTCTGACTTTAAGCCTTCAAGCTCCAATTCATTTCTGTTCCCCTAATAAACTGTATCACCCATCAATGTTTAAATATTTTAAATGACATGGAGATGGTTAATTTTTAAGTTACAAAAGGAAAAGAGAAAAATAGCAATTGTCATCAACTGGATAGAGAAAAAAATTTTAAACCTTGTTCATCTTGATAAATGCTATATATTACCCAACTGGTTGAATCTCCACAGTTCTATAGGTTATATTTGATTTAAAATTTACACGTGGTGGAGCTAAGTCTTAATATTACATCATTCTTAATAATACTATATTTGCTCCTATTCTCCATTTGGTCCTTAAAGTATACAGCAATTCCCCTAATCACTTACAGTGTGTTATTTTTTATAGTTTTATCATCATCAGTGTCTTTCAAGGAACATTCTGAAAATACATTTTGGCTTGTATTTTCCTTAAGTAGCTACTGAATTCATGAATGTGGTATTGCTAGATCAAAAAGGAATTCATGTTTTGTGTTCTAGTCTTCAATTTTCTTCAAGTTTTCCAATTCTACACAAGTACACACAACACACACGACATCCTTGCAATCATTAGGCAGTCTGCATCTACTAAACATTGAATATGCACAAGACGTGGTTTTTGACATGCACCTTTACGTCAGCCACGTTCTCAGATGAACATTCTTGTTATCATTACCATCTCCCCCTAACATATGGGGAAACTTGTGGCATAAAACCACCTGCAGATCTCATGCGCACTAAGTTACCCATTTGGCATAATGTCTTCCTTGACCATCGTGCTGCTCTCCTTCACTTATTCCCTGGCTCTTTCAGGCCTAAAAAAAGGTGAAGTGCAAAGTTCATGTTAACTTTGAAAAAGCTGCATGATAATCTCATCCCTCTCAGAGGTGTTTGGATTCCAGACAATGCAAATCCACCAAATGTTTGGTATTCAAGGAGTTACACCGTGCATCTGGGTTTGAGAGAAACTTACTTGATTAGTCACTCTACTGCAGTGCTTTTTAAGGGATGTCGGGCTCTTCTGCTTCCTCCAGACATGTTAAAGACTTCCCCGGGGAGCTGTAAGGGAGATTGTCAAAAATTACTGAGGGGATACAAGGCAGCTCAGTATACAAATCTCTTGCACGCTAGTCCCTTCCCTAAACTGAATTCTCAAGATCTTGTCCAACTCTCCAGCACCTGCCCAAACTTAATTTTTGTTTGTTTCATAAGGAGAACTGGGTTTGTGCTGGAGGATTTCCAGTAGTGGATTCATCTGAAGATCTAATGAGATCCAAGCTCCTCTGTCTGGGGTCCAGTTTTAGAAATCCTGACCAGGCAGACCCCTCCAAGTAGTGTTTTGAGAATCCAAGCCAAAGCAGTGCTTTGCCTTATTCCAGGGACAACTGAATAAAACAGGTGGAGGAAGAAAGCAGAAGCAGCCCAGCTTCTACTTTGGAAACAAAGTGTTCAGATACCTCTATGTGTCCAATCCCTGGAAGCACTGAAAATCATATTAAATCATATTTTTTAAAAAACTAGAAGATTATATTCGAAGCCCCTTCATACCATTTGTCCATGCCTGTGTGAAACTTTACCCATCCAAAGTTTCATTTCTGCTCCAGAAAAGTTTTCACATAGATGAGAAGCACTACCTTGCAATCACCCTAATAGATAGCCCTGTTCCAAGTCCCAGGTCTTTCTCAGCTCCATGAACTTGAAAGCTGCCCTATCCCCACCCTCAATTTCTTCCTCTGTAAAATAGGGAAAATAATACCATACATTCCAAAATTATCAACTGGAGAAAGAATTAAATGTGAGCAGAGCATGTGGTACCATGCTTACCACCAGCACTCGAGGAATGTCTCAATAATACATGGTGGAAAAGAGGTTACTGTTCCTGCTGCTGCCGTGTACCGTGAGGTCTGCCTGATCCTCTCTCTGATCTATGATCTTTTGTATAGGACACTGTGCCTCTGTCGCGTAACTTTCGTCTTTTGCAATCTTAGCCACATAATCTAATTGACCTCAAGTACCTTCTTCTTTGAAATCTTTTGGGTTACTTATTTCCTCAATTACTTTCCTACTGTTTGACATCACAAACATTAGCAGCCTTGAAACAATGTTAATTCTTGTAATGAACTGGCCTCAACTACTTAGCTAGAAGTAGCTCTTCAAGGGTAGAACCTTTCAACACTTTACCCTTCCCCATTCCTTGGCACATAGCAGAGAATGTATGGCAGACACTCAGAAGGACTTTGTGAAGGATAATATTGCCAGATTTGTGAACAATGGAATTCATGAATGAGAGGGTGAAAGAATGAGTTGGGGAATCAGTAAGCTCAAGAAATGAATAAAAACAACGAAATGAATGAGTGACAGGTATCAAGTGAGGGATGAAGAGGAGGAGGCGATGAGGGATTGTGACTTAGTGACCAGTGAATTGGGGGCTGTGAAAGGCAGCTGTCATGCCATTGTCCTCAGCTGTGCCCGCTGGACAACACCCTCCTCAGTCTCGGGTGCAGTTTTCCAGTTTTGTCTGCCCTTTCCTTCTTCTTGTTTCCTCCTCTCACCTGTCTCCAGAAGTGATGATCACACAAAATTGTTCACAGATCATTGACTTGAGCACTGGAACAGGCAGCCCTGGGTTGGCAAGGAAACCCTGGGGTTCTAGCACTCAGCTGCGGGAAGACGTCATCATTCTCTCGCATGCCCGCTCCAGCAAGAGCTCCTTGCTTATCTCTCCCTCTGCCTGCTTGCAGATGACGACTGTACAGACTCCTTCACGCCCAATCAAGTGGCCAGAATGCACTGCTACTTGGACCTGGTGTACCAGGGCTGGCAGCCCTCCAGTAAGCCGGCTCCTGTTGCCCTTGCACCCCAGATTGTAAGCCACACGACAGATTCTGTGACGCTGGAGTGGTTCCCACCCATCGACGGCCACTCCTTTGAAAGGTGAGTGTGTCCTATGAAGTGTTCATTCCTTTCCTTTCTCCTGCCAACAAGAAGGAAACTTGGATGGGTAGTAAAGGAAAAAGTTTATGCTGTGTTTCTTGTTCTTGTTCAATGGTTCAACACAGTAGACTGGATATGTAGGAAGCTTGTGAATTTTGATTCAGGGACTTAATGAATGATTGCTTATATAAATGAATATGGACTGATGCAAATTTTTAATGTTTTATTTGTGTGTATGTACAAAGGGCTAAAACAGATTCTTCTCTAAAGACAACATTCAAATGGACCACCACTATACGTAGAATGCTTAGCATCACTAGCTTTCATGAAAATGCAATTAAAACCTGTTAGAATTAGCATTATCCAAAAGACAAAAGATGTGTTGCTGAGGGTGTGGAACAAAAGGGAACCTTGGGATGCTTTTAGTGGAGATATGAATGATTAAAGCCAGTATGGAAAGCCAGCATGGAGGTTCCTCAGAAAAATGAAAACAGACTTACCATATGATGCAAAGGTTCCACTTCTGTGCATTTATCCAAGGGAATTGAAATGTTTGCCAAAAAGGTATCTAGGTATCACGTTGATTTCAGTATTGTTCACAGTACTTAAAATCTAGGAACAGCATGGGTGACCAACCATCAGATGAATGGATGAATATGAGTGTCAACTGGGATGTTATTTAGCATTATAAGAATAGAAATCTTGCTTGAAAACAAATGGATGAAGTTAGAATTGTGGTAAATTGGATAAGCTAAGCACAGAAAGACAAATATTAATATTTCATACGTGAAATCCAAAGAAGTTGCATTCGTTGGATTATATAGTAGAATGAAGGATACCAGAAACTGTAGGCACCAGGTAAGGTGCTGATCTAAGAACAGAAAGAACAATGTAGACAGAATGTTTAAGCTTCAATGATCTATTCAACAGCCAGTCACTATAATATATAATAACACATTGTGGATTTCCAAACGGTTAAGGATGCAGATTTGAAATGTTTTCCATAATAAATTATGAGAGATGATCAACTAATTAGCAGATTGAATCCTCTCATATTGTCACTATGTAACAAAATATTACGTTGTAGCTCACAAATAGATTAAATTATTATATTCTACTAAAAAAGGTAAAACTTTAAAGTTCCATAAAAACATATTATTAGAGCATGGCTTCACATTAAATGTGGACTCTAATTTTTCACATTACCCTCAGTCCCTGACTCTAGAACCTCCCTTTGGCAGCTGGATCAATGTGATCACTAAGGGGCAAGCGGACCCCCCGTCTCTGTGGAAACTCCCCTCCTCCTGCCCCTTCCATCCTTCTTATAAGCTCAGAGAGCAGTTTGGGAAACCTCATGGTGACACTTCAGAGCAAACTTTCCAGCAGCCTGTGGATTTATTTATTTTTTGTGTGGTGATGAGAAGTATCAGTCTTTTGGTCAAACCTTGGCCTCAATTCCACTTTAAAAATGGAAATTTTTAAATGAGGTTTCCTGTGTATGTATTTAATTTGTATTTCATAAAGCAGTTATTGTCCATTAAATAAATACCATCTGATTGTTGGAAACCTATTGGAGGGTTAATTGTTGTGTAATGAGATATGTCTCTATTACATAGTGCTCTCAGCTTCAATCAATATGTTTTTAATAACCTATAGTCAGTTACTGCTTTGGGTTCATACAATAGCTATTCTGTTCAGTCTAAGATTTCATAACAGAGTTATCATGTGTTAAATTAAAACTGACATTTTTGAAATACATCTAATTAGGGTTAACAGCTATGTAGACCATAGCCTATAGCTACAGGAAGTTGATGCACAAGTTCAATAAATTGTTGTAAAGGAATAGAGCTACATTTTATGCATATCACTCTTCCATGCACGTGGAGTTTATACTCCTGCAAATCAGCTTAATAAAGAAGTGCATAAGCTTTGATGTCATACATTAATTTTCCACTCTCAGTTTTATCACCCCAGTTGATGAGACTCTAAACCAGGCATCTCACCTTTCTGACCCTCAAAGTCTTCTTTCACGTGCAATTGTGTTCATTTCACCTAGTTTCGGTGAGGAATTCAGAAAAAGTAACATCTAAAATAAGCCAAGCACACAGACTGTATGTTCAAGGAATAATAAGTCCCATTTTTGCAGTGTTTTCCAGAGTTTTTTAGCTACTTGAAAACTCTCTTTCCATGAAAAACCTCTGGTGTTTTCCACTGCATCCATCAATGCCAATATCTTGCCCCTGGCCATGCTCACATCCTCCTGCTGTTCTCACATCTGTGGTCTAAGAGAATACAAGGGTTTCCCTTAGAAAAACAGATTGGATCCTCTCACAGTCTATATTCTCACACATGGGCAACTGAATAAATAATTCAAGGCCACCCCTGGCTTTTCTAATTCTTTTTATTTTTATCAGCCTTGCAAACATGTGTTGACTGAATGGTTTCAGTTTTCTGAACAAATGGCTATGGTGCACTATTACCAGACTCCTGAATATAGTACCAAGAGACCCAGAGCTGAAACCATCATGACCTTGTTCATTGCCCCCTTTTCACTTAGCCCTCAATTTTCTGAGACTTTCTCAAATGAAGTTCCTCTTCCAAATCTGACTGTCAAAACTGATTTCAGTAATGATTTTCTCAGTTATCTGAAAGAAGGTGCCTAGCTAATACTATTCTAAAACACAACGTAATAGATGAATCACAGTGGATGCCTTAAGAACACTTTCTATTAGGACTTTTGGCAATACTGAAAATATCTTATAACTTACTGCCCGAGGCAGCAGCCAATAGCCAACTGTGGCTGTGGAATATGTGAAGAGAGGCTAAGTATGTGTTAGGAACCAGAATTCAAACTTATTTAATTCTAATTATCTAATATTTAAATAGTTGTGTATGGCTGGTAGCTGCCATATTGAATTGTGCAAATTTAGACATTTAAACTTTCAATCTCATGAACAGGAGTAAAAATAATGATTGGTATATTTCACAAGCAGAATTAGCATCCTGCTTGTGAAACATTTTTGCATATTCAAGATGTATAGTACACAACACTTGTTGTTGTCAGTTGGATGAAGATCTGCTCATCCTTCAAAATGTTTACAAGGGATTATTTATTTGCTCATCATTAAAGTATTTACTATGGATGCGTTGGGAGCTCAATGAACCTCATTTGACTTTATATTTTGTCACTCAAAACAAAGTATTTAAAGGAAGCATAAGGAATGACACCATGGACATTAAGGTTCCTAAGTGTGTCAGTGTATTTGTAGCTTCATTGTCATCATGAAACTGTTCACACAGTTCAAAGAATTGTGTTCTTGGAGGAGAGCTTTCCAACATTAGCAGGTCTATGCTAGTATCTACCCCAGGTTACCTACCTGCAAATTTTTAGTAACTTCGGGAATAACTCTACATTTTTAAAATAAGTAGAAAATTCATAGGGTATAAAATAAGTTACTTTATGTTCCTCATTTCAGAAATATTGCCAGTGATAATTTATCATAGAAGTTGTTTCATCAACATTAAGATACTCTTATACATTAGGTTTTTAATATGAATTTTTAAACCTGATATTATAGCTTGCACATTTTCTATGAAGCTATGTAACATTTACCATTATTTTTATAATAACCACTTATCACTCCAGGAAGTAGTCTAACCCTGAGCTAATTAATTATTCTCCTCACACTGAATGTTAGCGTTCGTGCAATGCATCTCTGTGCTTTTACATTTACAGTGATAAGGATAATGATGCAAGCCTGCATTTGGAAGGTCTAGCCTCAGATAGTCATGGCTATTAGGGATGTATCTGAGTGACTGGTCCTCATTCATCCATCAACAAATCTTGACGAACACTATCAGAGTATGTGTTTGAGTGGAAACATAATGTCGAAAAACATGGACACTTTCCTTCAAATCTCATATTCTATGGACAGAAATTCACCTGTGAACCTAAAGAATCTTTATAGAGGAAACAGTTTCCATAATGTATACAGAAAGGTGAGACATGTCAACAAGGTGGAATCAGGATAACCTAACATGGCACAGTCACTAAATGGAGACCAGAATGGAAGTAAGCAAGGCTGGCGTGACAGGAGAAAGACTACAAGTCCTGCAAGTACCATGTCAGAGGACAGTAGGGGCTGAAGCCACTACGCAGGCCAGCATGGCCTGACCTGTTCGGAGATGTGATTATTTGCTGCAGATGTGAAAAGGAAGACGGGCACATTCCAGCAGACCATGTTCGTATGCACATATGTAGACATGCTCACCATGAACATGTGACCACAGAGGTGTGTAGAGCTCCCGTGTAATGACAGAGGGGCCTTGAGATCTGACTCCTCTATGTACCTTTAGGCAGCCAAAGCATGCTGATTTTTTTTTTCTAGGAATAACTCAAAAAGTATCAGCAAGGACATTACATTTTGTAAAACAATGAATTGGGACTAGGACATTTCATGACATCATTCCATGATTCATTTTCCAGTCCCCCTGCAAAGACTGTTCAGATTTACAGAGTTTCAGGATCCACAATAGTACAGGAGAAGAGGACTCATCACTCTCTTACCCACAAGTGCCTCCTCCTCCTCCCAAACAGATGCCAAATCCAGAGAACAAGTAGGATCCCAGATGCCGTTATGGCCAAGGGGAGATTGAATCCAGATACACAAGAGAGGAGAAGCCACCATAATATTCCACTTCTGAGGTTGGTCCCATTGAGGGATTGGCTCATGGCTTGGAAAGCTGCTAAAATGAATTAGATGGTATAGTAAGGAAAACTGCTTTTGACTGTTAAAATTAAGGACTGACTCACTTATCCCCTGAATGTCAAGACTGGAAGGTTCTTTAGGCTTCGTCTAATCTGGCCCACTCATTTTCAAGTGAAAGAATCATGCCTTTTCCATAGTCAATGTCTAGAATATAAAATGACACCCATCACATACTTCCTGATAAATAATGCTGAAAAAGAAACTTTGGGGGGATAAAAATGGGGCAGATAGTTTGTTCATAATCACACAGAAATTATTCAGTGAAATTTTTCATGCTGGAATATATTCAGATTGTTGCAGGTAGTATGCTCTTGGCATGTCATTCTTAGGCTGCTTGAGATCAAGGTACGTATCATGAGTACAGAAGATGTTTTAGACATAGGCAGGATGCTTGCTAGGCAATGGGGGAGAAGTTCAGCTACATTTTTTTTTTTTGGAAAGCATAGCATGTGAAGACAGAGGACCAATCACTGTAGCAGTTGCCTGTGACCTGATCCTGTCCATTGCTCATTCAATTGCTCCTAAGTCGGTGTCTGCTCCTTCTCCCCTTGGTCTCCTAGAGAATTGGGATCAGCATGTGACCTTTGCCTGGAAGGGAGAATCCTGATGCAGTACGCTTTCAATGCCTCCTCCCCAATGCCTTGTGGCCCCTCAGGACACTGGAGTCCTCGAGAAGCAGAAGGTAAGTCTGCCTTCTGGAAGCACATTCATGTGCTGTATGTGCAAGAAATCACTCATACAATGCTTCTGAAGTCTTGGGAGTCTGACTTGTCTTTCCCACACACTGCTTTGAATTTAAGCGGACCCTTGGAAAGACAGTGTTCATGCAGTCACTTGACAGATTTGTTTTTTGCCCCTGTACACTCCCAAATATGTTATTCCACATAAATAAAGGTAACAAATGCCATTAATAGCCCAAGGCCTCCTCTGATAAAGACACAGTGTGTTTGGCATGTATGTAACCTCCAGACCATAGCTGCCTATGTATACACAAGGCCATATTAGATTTAACACAGGTACTTTGGATCTCCAAAGCATCAGTTGACTTTCATTCTTTTTTTTTTTTCTGCTGCTTCTGAGAACTACCCAGGGCATTCCCACATATGTCACAATATTTCTTTTGATGTCTTCCAGGCATGCTCGTTTTTGGTATTCATTTCCCTGCAAGACACTTGAGTAAAACACTTCACAACTGCAGTTCCCAAACTCTATCCACACTCCTGTCTCTCTCCACCTGATGTCTTCCAGGGTTCAAGAAGCCAACCATCCTGTGCTTCCTAGAGCATTGTTGTTTTCTGTAGAAGTTAAATACAAGTTTTTGTTAAATGCTTGTTATTGCATCTTATCAGTTTGTTCTGAAACCAGACTGGTAGACAGCCATGTCTGTCTTTACTTGCCTCCCCAGTGGTGCACATGTTCACCCTACCGCTACCCAGGCCTTTTTCTCCTGTGCAGGTCAACCTATGCCCACCATCACTGCGCAAGGTCACTGTTGTACCAGCTCACCAGAGGGAGCAGAATCAGTCCCCTCATTGAGCATCAGAGAGAGCTCCGCTACCCTCTATATTTTTAGAAAGAAGGTTGGAGAGGAAAGGCCAGAGATAGACTAAAGTAATGAAAGGATCAGAGGGGGAAGTGAAACTGCATTTTATTTTCTAAAGTAGCTTAAAATAAAAATGAGAGTCTAACTCGGGAACTCTAAACAAATCCATCTGGAATGTAAAGTGACAGGGACGTCTAGGCGAAACCCTCAATTCAGTCTCACAGAATCACAGGCTGCCAGACAAGGAAGGGAAGCCTGGGGTCAGGAGCAGCCCCAGACCTCACCCAGGGCAGGAATTACCCCCATGAACTTCCACCTCTATCACAGTTGCAGTCACAATTTTTTCCTGCCCAACTAGACCTACTCTGAGTTCTGACAGAAGAAACTACATGTCACTGGCACTTAGCAACACCTTGCATGCTTACCTAGAGTAAACTCATCTCGCCTGTGACCCCTGGAGGGACTACGGGCTAGGCACACCCCTGGGTGTATTTGCATCTGCCAGGCAGTTATGAATAAATAAATGAGACAGTCGTATTTCAGTGCTAAGAGACCCTTGAAACTAGAAGTGTGATTTGTCATGGATCACTCAATTGGACCGCTTCCAAAAGTGGACACAGGCTTCCCAAAATATATCCTAATGCAATGAGCAAGGTACATGTCAGAATGTGAAGACTCTTATAGGTTTGAGGGCTTTTTAAGATATCTTCATTACCAAAATCATTTCTGTAACATTAAGGGTGTACCTCCACAAGTTAATGCACAACAGAATTTAAAAGTTTAGGGACCAGGGAGGGCGACACAGCAGCTTAAAGCATTGCCTGAAATTCCAGCTTACCGTTTTGGAGAACTTGAGCTCAAATACCAAGTACATTTCTGAGCCAGCTCTCTGTCCATGTGCCTAGGATGTCAGTGGATGCTGTCCTAGGTACTTAAGCCCTTGCCTCTCACGTGGTAGACATGGGGGAGGTTTTCTAGCTCCTGGCCTCAGCCTGGCTCAGATCCAATCTTGACTATTGTGACCATTTTGGAAATGGGTTACTAATAGAAACAGAATCTCTCTTCCTTTTAAAATAAATGAGTTTTTAGAATGATAAGGTTAGGGGAGAATTCCTGCCTGGGATGACGATATCCAATGTTGGAGTTTCTGGCTCTGCTGCCGATCCTAAGTTCCTATGATTGTACACCCTGGGAGGTAGTAAGTTTATGTGGAAGACCTGAATTGAACTTTCAACTTCAGCCTACTTCAGCCGTGAATGCTTAAGGCATTTGGAGAGTGAACCTGCAAATAAATGACTCATTCTCATTTTTTTTTCAAATAAATACATAAAACTTTTAAAAAGCAAAGCTTATTTGGGTGCCCCAGATTTCAAAATGCCTGTGAAGTATTTTTTACTACATATTTCCTACAAGCCTTCTGAACATTCCTCGAATGTAGGTTTCAAAAATTTTTTTCCACCAAGGTAGAATTATCTTCAAGCTTTTTCGTGAAATGTTTGCAATATCTGCATACTGTGGCATCATCAGCCCTTTTCACACTCATTCTTTTCTTAGAGGATGGTGTGTTCCATTGGGTATATGACGCTTGATTTCATTAATGCTCTGGTAGCTAATAGATCACATCCTTATGTATTTTTGAAGCTTAAAATTTCTTCACTCTAGTTTTAGCTGCATCTTTTGTATTTCTTTTATACTTTTCATAGTATATCTTTCATTACAATACAATAACTACTAATAGATACAGATTCCATATGCACAAGCTTAGCAATGTTGTACAAATTTAAATAGGCTTAGAGTATAGAGAGCAAGATGGATGAGGAAATGGTTGGACAGGTAAGGTGGTAAATCACAAGATGAAAGTGGGTTTCAGTTTATGCTGAGGACAGTTGGAATGCGTTATTTGCTTGGGGGAGAAGGGTGTATGGTAAGATAAACACTGTTTAAACTGTTCTGAGAAGAGAATGGCACATGAATGCTAGTGGGAAGGAAGACATGAATGTTGCCAGATTCCTGCTGCAGGATGGCAAAGGCCTGGGTGAAATCAGAATTAAAAAGGAGAGTACTTGCTGAATTTTATTTGAGAGGTAATGGTGGTAAGGCTTCCTCCTGAGACTTCTCTGGCTAAGATATGGCTAAAACTTTCTGGGTTCCTCTTACCTTCTGTTTAAATGGTATAACTTCTAGATAGCTCTCCATACCTCCAACTATCCCAATGTCAGTGGGTGACATTTTCCTGATTTTTCCTTTACTGTCTTCAAGTGCCGTATGCAGGATGGAGTTCAATGAGAGTCACTGAACCCGTTCTCTGGGATGACTCAGGCTTGCCCAGGAAACCTAGCTGCCCCGGGTTTCCCTTCTATGTAAACTGAATGCACACAGGCCAGGAAAAGACACTGTTCTTTTTTTAGAACATCCTATTACAGACACTGTGCTCCATTTGGCTCAGACCCTTTTAATATCCTTGAAGAAATAAACTTTTCCATGAACCAAGTTCTGCAATTTATTTCTCAACTCATTTTCATCCTATTTATCTTTGTGTGTTTAAGTTGTTGGACTTCCCAAACTAACATAAAGCTCCCAAACCCATGAGCCATGCCAGACATATCTGTGGGGTTGGGGAAAGAGCACAGTGTGGGGTTGGGCAGATGATCTCAGCACCGCATCAACTGACTCTTTGCTCCTGCCCGACGCCCTCAGCCTTCCTGAAGATGTCTTCTAATCCACGAAATGGACACTAGATCCACACTGGGCTTCCCAAGCTGTTATTCTGTGGAACTATAGTTTCTTTTTATAACTCCTTTTTAAAAACAGAATGTTCTTCGTTTATTAAATGTGCATTGGACATAATGTGAAGTTGATGGGACATCCACTTTGTTCCATTAACTTCACTTCAAACAATAACTTCTTGATTTTGTTCACACCAAGTAATGTGTACTTATCATTTGAACTGAAATGAGATTTCACAGGTGATCATTTGTTGAAATATTTCATGAATTGCTATAAATACTATATTTAGTATAGGTTAGATTCTTGAATCTGACCTACTCAAATCCTAGTTCATAACACATATGCAAGCACATATTTTATTACAAATGTTGGATTTTCTATGAGAGATTACCACATGCCATTAACTGTTTTCACTTTCTGATATTTATGTGTTTTCTTCAGTCTCCTGCCAAGAATACTTCAGGTGTACTGAAATATTCACTAGAAAAACTTGGCACCAAATTTTCAAAACTATGTTTTTGTCAATTGCTGCAATGTATATACATGCAGCAGGCATAGATAACAGTCTATATTGATCTTCGTAAATGTTGATTAACATAAGTATAATAATACATAAAATGTATTTTTATATCTACTGAACATCTTGCATAAACATGGCACTTTTTACTGAGTCACCATTTGTGTCAAAGGATGTGTATTAATAATGAAGTAACCGTACTTTGCACTTTATTTTTTACTCCTTTGTTGCTCTCTCACTGTCTGCTGAATTCACTTAATTTTCCCTCCTTTCTTTGTTTCCTTTTTTGTTTTGTCTTCTCAATCCCATTGCTTGCCTCAAAGCCACACATCCTACCAACCTCCCAACTCCGTCTGTTTTTTATGCTGAGAACTATGACTTGTGCTTCATTATGACACTCCCATTATGCAAACCATGATGATGAACTGTCTGCACTAATGCGGCTGTCTCCTTGCTGATCTGACTGTATTAAGTGGTTTATGAAGAGAGAGACCATGTCTGGCAACCTGTTCTGCAAGGAACTGGCTTGACTATGAACACAGGCCTGCAATTCAATAGTCTTTGGATAGACAGGAGGATGAATGAATGAATGAATGGATGGATATGTGGATGATATCTATGTCTTAGGTGATTTCTCTAAAAGGCAAATCTTATGTCACTGATTTGTTTTAAAGCCTTCAACAGTTCTCCAACTATTTCCATACCAAGTTCAATTCACTTACTGTCATAAAAGACGATGATCTTGTCAATCTCAGTGCTAAATGGTTTCCCATTGCACTCAACATCATTTTAACTCACCTTCTGTCTTAACTGTTCTTTTCGGTTGGACTGTCTCTTGCTACTAACATTTTCCTTGCCAATTTCCCCTTACCTTTATAAACAGAGATCATGAATTTGTAAAAATCTGTTACAGACTGCATCTCATTTTCATTTTATAGCAACTGTTTGAGGTAGGTGAGGTAGGTAACATTGCAATAGGTGACATAATAAGAAGCCGTATGGCTGACATTTTAACCCAACTTTCATTGCTTCAAAGCCTGGCACTCTGCCTGGACCAACAGTATCACATAATATTCTGCTCCTCACCAGGGAATTACTTAACTGTCTGAGTCTCAGTTTCCTCTTCTGCCTCATAGACTTACTTCCAGGATAGAAAGAACTGAGGCATGTAATGTGCTTGGCACACTGCCCACACATAAAGACTGGTCAGTTCATGAAGCATGCTGTTATTCAAGGGATTGCTACGTTGGAGCTTTCCTTTGCATCTGCATTAACTCTAATGACCAGATAAGCAAAGCTTTGCTAAATTTCTTCTATTGCTTACTGACTTCAGCATAACGAACAGACGCACCATCCTGTCATTTGGAAAGCATTTAGTCCCTCTGTTGATTAACAAGAAATCAGAGGACAAAGATGAGCCAAAAACAGGTTTGTCATCTTTATTTCCCCATGGCTTTTCACACATGAAAGTCATTTTTCTCCAAGGAAGAGAGAAAGATGGATTTTCTTCCCTGCCAACTTCAAGAGAAAGTCCATGAAAGGGTAGAATGTTCACCAGGCACACACCCTCAGGTATCATTCTCTCTAATATCTCATTATATAACCACCTTTTCAATTCTTTATTAACAGATAAAAATGTCCTCATTTAACAAGTAATCATTGAGTAGTATCTACTATGTGCAATCTTTATGGGCAAGGCACTGTCATTAGGTAAAGGCTACATCATATTTCGTGAAATAGAACTCTGAAATCACAACAAAAACAGTTATCCATCCTACAAGATTTTGTTGACCATCATATGGATTAACTAATTTTTTCAGAATGCGCTTAATATACTGTCGCATTCTATTACTGAATGAACATAAGTGATTCCTGAGTGCAACAAACTACAACCTTAAGAGGATTTGGTATTCAGTAAGTGGAAAGAAGATGTCTAAGTGTGTATTTTTTACTTAAAATGGGGTTGAGTTGAGCCAGCGGTTATAAGCATTGAATGAAACTATCCAAGGAGGAGTGGAGGAACCTTGTGGCTATATGCATGTCTTCTGTTCCAACATGTTGTATCTAAAAAGTCATTGGGCAATGTCCCCTTGCATCTCCCAGTTTCTTCTCTTTCTTCCTTCTGCATCTTCTCTAGGTGGCTTCTGTGTTCTCACTTGCTTGGCTGGACAGAGCACAGAGCTTAGAGGCAGCTACAATCTTCAGTGGGATAGCTTTCTCACTCCAAATGCTTCTTGGCATTCCTATTGTAGTACTATCAAGAACTGTTTATAAACATGGCTTTTTCCTTTATGAATGTCAAGCTCGCTCCCCCTACCAATGACTGATTTAGAAGAAGCAAGGTAGGTGGCTAATTAGGCAACTTGAGCTCCTCTGTTGTACCCTCCCCAGCTGATCCGCATCTTTCCCTAGACTTCTTTAAACACCTCGGAGCCTGCCACAGCATTGCATCCTGGTTACTATTCTCAGAAGTGCAAGGGGGAGCTCTCTGAAGCAGTACATGTGATCTCAGCAGAGAAGAATTCACAAGTCACTGTAGGCTGAGATCAGTAGAGATGAGGCATCCTTCTCCCTGGGGACAGACTAGAAGAATCCCTCCTTCATTCTCCCACCTCCTCACCCAGCCCTCCCATTCCTGAATCTGACTGCACAGAGCACAGAGAATCTCAGTGGTATGCAGTGACATCATGTAGGCCAGGGGAGGAGGAGACAGCAATAAGATGGCTCCCAGAGCTGCCTCCTAGCCCATCTCTCATGATTCAGTTTCCTTCCGGATCCTCAGTACTACAGGCAAAGCTATCCACGTGCACCTTCTCTTTGTCGGGTTTTCTAGTGCTTCTGTCAATCCAGTTTGTACCAATAGCAATGCTATCACAGATTTCCAAGTTATCTTCATCGCTCCTGCATACAATGAGATAAAGAGCAAAAAAAAAAAAAAAAAGGAATTTCAGAATTAGGAAAAAAGTGAGTTCTAAGGCAAACTCATTTACACTTTGAATTGTCTGATGGGTTAAAATATATTTCTGAGCCTGTATTTCCTCCTCTGTAAAATTGCAGGAATTAAGCAAGTACTTAGCAAGTATGAGCGGCTTTAAAACATTTGTGGAGAAATAGAATTAAAGATTATGCAAATTTTCCACCAACTTTGTGTTAATGGTGTGTTCTGCTTTCTTCTTCACACAACGCTCAAAGGGAAAATGAGTAAGGAATGTTCAGGAATCAACAATAAGGCACTTATTTGAGTATATTTTTGACAAAATGTTTTGTGACTACTTGAGGACTTGGTGTTTTGTACACAGCAAATTCACCAAGACAATGAGAATAGCCATGTCCTCCTCTCCTCTGTGTTCTTATCGGAACGATCTCTCCCAACATTTACAAGAAGCTCTAAGACCTATTTTATATTTTCCTGCTCATTCTATCTTCTATTTTTCACAGGTCATCCAGATGTTGAACAGCCATGCAAATCCAGTGTCCGTACTTGGAGCCCAAACTCAGCTGTCAACCCACACACAGTCCCTCCAGCCTGCCCTGAGCCACAAGGCTGCTACCTCGAGCTGAAATTTCGCTATCCCCTGGTCCCTGAGTCTCTGACCATCTGGGTGACCTTTGTCTCCACTGACTGGGACTCTAGTGGAGCTGTCAATGACATCAAATTGTTGACTGTTAGCAGGAAGAACATCTCTTTGGGCCCTCAGAACATTTTCTGCGACATCCCATTGACCATCAAGCTCCAAGATGTGGATGAGGAGGTGTACGGCATCCAGATCTACACGTTAGATGAGCACCTGGAGATCGATGCAGCCATGTTGACCTCTGTGGCAGGCTGTCCACTCTGCCTAGACTGTAAGCCCCTGAGATACAAAGTGGTTCGAGATCCTCCTATCCAAGAGGACAAGGCCTCCATCGTCCACTTCAACAGGAGATTCACAGATAGGTAAGTGCTCCCTCTGGATATGATGATGATGCAATGGGTGTGCCTGAAGAGTGGCGAAATCTGGACTGGTGAGAGAAGGTTCCACATCACCAGATTCCCTCCTAGGAATGTTTTGGCTAGAATTTCTCTGAAGAACTGAGTGATACGATTTCCTTTTTGTTTCAATTGAAGAATACTCATACATGTTGTTTCTGTTTTCAGTGAATGAAAAAGGGACGGAGTTATAGAAGGTTGGCAGGGAATTAGGCATGCTCTTAAACATTTGTATAAAAAGTTTGCTGTAAGGCAAACATCACCAGCCATAATCATTGTTTCTTGCCTGTTCTCTTTTTTTTAAGATTTATTTTTTATTTTTATTGCATAAGTCAGATATACAGAGAGGAGGAGAGAACGAGAGGAAAATATTCCTTCTGCTAATTCATTCCCCAAGCAGCCTCAATGGCTGGAGCTGAGCTTACCAAAGCCATGCTCTTTTGGGTCTCCCATGCTGGTGCAGGGTCCCAAGACTTTGGGCCACCCTTGACTGCTTTCTTAGGCCACAAGCAGGGAGCTGGATGGGAAGCATGCAGCCAGGATTAGAACAGGCACCATATAGGATCCCAGCAAATGCAAGGCGAGGACTTTAGCCTCTAAGCTACTGCGCTGGGCCCTCTGGCCTGATTTTTTTAAGGCAGAGGAAACGTTGAAACCATTTTTAGTTTTAGGGGGCTTTTAAGCTCTAAGTCACAATGATTTTGTGGAGGGGGAGGAGGGGTTCCTTGTTTTACATGTAGTGGTTTTTGTCTTTAAATATTTGCTTCTGAAGACTCCTCTCTATCTCTTTTTCCCAATTATCATCAGACTCTGTGCTTCCAAAAGAAGACTACCTTTAAAAAAAAAAAAAAAAGCCGGGGGAGGGAACGGGATACGTATTTCTGTTTGAAAGGCAGATTTTACAAAGAGAGAAGGAGAAACAGAGAGAGAAAGAAGTCTTCCATGTGCTGGTTCCCTCACCAAATGGCGTCAGTGGTCAGAGCTGAGTGAGCCAGTGTTGGGGGCTAGAAGCCAAGAGATTTTTCCAGATCTGCCATGTGGGTGTATGTGCACAAGGAATTAGCCCATTCTTTACTGCTTTTGCAGGTCTGAAGCAGAGGGCAGGATTGGAAATGATGCAGCCAGGACCTGAATTTGTGCCTATATAGATTTCTGGGGCTGACGGGCAGAGGGTAGTCTGATATGCCACCGCATGAGTCCCAGAAAGTTTGCCTTATAATAAATTCCTGAGGGTTTCTCCCACCTTCCAGGAAATAAGTTGGCTTTGCATCATTCCTTGCCCCATCCTCTCCACAAACCCAGCACCTTTTAATCATTCTAATTTTACAAAGAAGGAAACCGAGGCTGAAAGTAAGATACTACCTAAGATCATACAGTGATGAATCATTGAGATTAGGGTTGGAATTCCGTCCTTCCTCCTAAGCCAGAATGCCCATTCAATTTGCTATTCAAGAGGTGAGTGATGTCTGTCTTAATGCAAAAGCTAATGGAGCCTTAGCCTCCTGATCTGGGTCCCAGGAATCTTTTTAGTCAGTCACTGAACATGTATTCATGCCTACTGTGTGCCAGGGATATTCGTAGAGAAAATTCTGAGTATTGGAAAGAGCAGCTATTCAAGAGTCAGGTGTTTTGTGTCTGATCCCGTTCAGTGCATTTACTGTGTTAAACAAATCATTCAATCCCTTTCAGCCTCAATTGTCTCCTCCGTATGACAAAAAATGATGAAGTTCATGATTTCTGAAGCCTTTTGTGGCTCTTTATTTGGTCCTAAGATGATATAAGGCACAGTCCCTGCTCTGTCTTCTTGAAAATATTTACTAAGTCCATCATTAATGGAAACCAAGTTCTGGAGGAAACTTTTAATCTTTTTAAGAGACAGAATCACTTTCAAACACTTTACCAGCACTTCCTTTTACATGCCAGCAATTAATGTGCACATCACAAGCAAACCCATGCCCATTCATTGAATCCGAGATGAAGAACATCTGTTGAAGAACTCAAAAGGCGCACTTGGTTTGTGTTTGAGAAAGTACTTAAAATTTAAAGGCTCGTCTTGCCTTGAAAATATTCCATAGCCCTGTCTCTTCCATCTTCTCACTTGTCTAGAGTGGTAACATTCTATAAATATGAATCTACTAAATTTTCTTCATAAAACAATGGAGAGAAGAAGTCATAGTTGTCTTAAAACCTCTGTTTAAACACAGCCTTTGTTTTGCGCCAAGTTGTTCATCTGTAAGAACTGACATGGGTTGATGAAGTGTAGAAAGATGGAAAATAGACTCAAAAAATGCCCTTAGCCCTATTCTCAGCTAAGATAGTCACTTTTTTTCTAATTGTGAGTGACTCACCTGCCCTTTCTGATCTTCAGATGTCTCAATTCTGCAAAGGTGAACTCACACTAGAATAGGGGTTCTCAGTCCCAACTACACATTACAGAAAGTTGGAATCAAGTTAAGCTGCCCCCTATCTCAACTTCATCTTTCTCCATGCTCTGTCCTTCCACTTCTGGTTACTCACTGATTTGATAAGAAAAAGGCCTGATCACCTGAATTTTTACAATCTTACCAAGTGATTAGAGTTGACAATGTAATTTAAGAAGTGTTGTCCTGAAACAGGTTCTTTGACCCCCTAGCTTGTTAAAGCAGACACCCTGAGCATAGCTCCAAATGATTCTGGTATTGAACTAAGGTTTACATACCTACTCTTCATGATGTCTATAGCCCAGCCATCTCCAAAATCATTCCACTCATCTATTAAGTCATTCAATTCACAATATATACTGATGATAGTCTAAGGTGTCAGAGTCTGTATTGCAGACTAAGGATTCTAAGAATAAATCAGTCTAGACAATTCTACTGCTTTTTTAAAGATTTATTTATTTTTATTGGAAAGGCAGATATACAGAGAAAATGAGAGACATAGAGAAAGATCTTGCACCTCCTGTTTCACTCACAAAGTGTTTCACTCCCATATGGGTGCAGGGTCCCAATGCTTTGTGGCTCTTTTGTGGCTTTCCCAGGCCACATTTAGGGAGTTGGAAGGGAAGGGGAACAGCTGAGATTAGAATCATCATCCCGATATGTGATTCTAGCACATGCAAGGCAAGGACTTTAGCCAAGGGTCTACCATGTCGGGCCCAGTCTAGTCGCTTCTTAAAGATACACAACTTTGACTAAGAACCTTGCCCAGTTTGTACAAATGCAAAATCCTATGCTGATTTGCTTCTATTCAGGTCCACACTTCTGCGAGACTTGTTTGTTTGTTTCATTTACCCATTAATGTGTTCAGTCCTTAAAAGTGCTAGAATGTGTCATTAACATACTCTTTATTATTTTCTGGACCCCAAGAAATTACTGGGGGCCTGGGCTGGGATTCCTGATTTGAATGTTCTGAAAAGGGGGAAAGTATTTCAAGTCAACATATCATTTCAACTTCTTTATCTCCTCGTAATTTGAGTTCTGAATCCTGCCACAAGAATCTGCTGTGTGCGTGTGTGTGTGCGTGTGTATGCGCGTGTGTTTTGCTTCTTTGACATTTTTTCCATATCAAATGAGTTGGCTTCTATACAACTTCTATGTAAAGACTGTTTTGGAGAATGAGAGGGTAGGGGAAAAAAATGCTTTCTTTTTCTTGCCTTACTCAACGCATTGCTCGATTCCCTTTGACCTTTGTCATCATTTTTTTCTCTCAACGAAAATATTTATTCTTTCTGTTATCTACACTGGAGATAGTTTCCCAAGGTATGACATTGATGAAGGGAGAGCCTCTGTGCTTACCCATGAAAGCTTGGAGCAGACTAATTACTTTTGGACAAGGAAAAAATGTGGAACATCTCCATCTCCCTTAAGAGGAAACCCCTCCCACTGAATGAGAACTGACACCGTCAAAGGAAAAGGAGCCCAGCACTAACTCTCTCATAGCTAACACATCACAGGAAGTCCAGACATGTAGCATCCACTGTTCAGGCTTCAGCTCCCGTGACTCTAAAACGGACAGTCAAGTCTTCTCTGGGTAGAAACAGAGGTGTCTCCAGCTGACTCATACAGTTTTTGTAGTAAAAGTAATTCAACTTGGAATCTACCCAGGGGACCTTCACTGCTTCTGAATGCCCTCCTGAAATTTACATAGCCTGTGGATGTTAGCAGTTACCCGAGAGATGATCGTATCCTCAGATTATGCATGATGACTTAAAACAGAGAAGGGAGGCAAATGGCAGAGTTTACACAACTGTATATGGTAACGCTGGGGTAAAATACCTAGATTCATCATCTCCAAAGTTAGCGCTGTTATTCTTTCATCCTCCAGTTAAAGAAATGTGCTTGTACTGCCCACACAAGCTTTTTTTTTTATTATTATCCTTAATTTAGAGCTAGAAACATTTCTGAAGGACATTATCTTTCCACTGCTTTATGAATTCCAGACAGTTACCATTTCAGTGCATCTTTCACATTCAGAACTGTGAAGCTAACAACACTGTCTCCGACTCTTTGACTTGTCCTCTCAATCATCCTCAGTAAAATTCTCGGGGACAGGTCTGCAGTTGTGGTATCCTGGGTAAAGTCATTGCTTCGGACACTGGCATCTAATGTGGATGCTTGTTCATGTTCTGGCTGCTCCACCCCCGCTGGTATTTATGAAGTTATTCTGAGTCATCATTTGTTCCTTGACATATTTATCAAGTGCTTACTCAGTACCCTCCCTGTGCTGGGAACCATGCCACCTTCTGAAGATATGGTTGGTAACAAAAATAGTTTCACTCTTCAATAGAGTCTAAATTTAGTCTCTGTGATAACTATTACCATAAGTACTAATACTAGTATTATCTATGATGAGAAATATTAAAATCATTATTAATACTAACTAGCATATAGTTAGTATCATACATGCTTAATAGTTTATGTCTACAAATAAGATGTAGGTATCAACATGTGTAATTTTTAGATGGGGAAGTTGAGACTCAAGGAGAT